TTATATACTATTAAATATAATACAACATTTTTTAATTAACATTATTATTCCATTTTTTTCATAATAATGTATTAAATTTTATTATTTAATATAGTACATTTATCGTTTTTTCGTTAATTAAACCACCTATATTTTGGAATAAACAAATTATTTGTAATTTAATAGTTTATGAATGGTTAATAAATGGTTTACCAAATGTTTTATTCTCTAAACAATTTGAATCTTTTTATACATTTCAATAAATGGTTTACCAAATGTTTTATTCTCTAAACAATTTGAATCTTTTTATACATTTCAATAAAAGTTCAATGTTTTTGATTTGAAAACAGCTTCGAATTGTTTCTTATATTGAGAAAAGTACAACGAAATTTTTATTAACTTTTCTTTAAAAAATGTAATTTATGTACACAAATCTATTTTAGGAAGTGTACGAGTATTTTCTGGTGTACGACAATTTTCTGGTCGACTTTATATTTTTTATTTTTTTTAAAAAAATGGCATTTGGATCTTATTATCACCAATTTAATTATTTTATTTTTAAAAATCAATAAAACAAAAGTTTGAGTAAATTGTCGGTGTTTTGTGTAGAAAAAATACATTTTAGGGAATACAGTAAAAAGTGTTTATTTGTGGTTTTTTTAAACAGAGAAAAAACTTATATTTGTGGGTTTATCATGGAATTGTGAAGTAAATTCTATTCACCATTTTTTTCCATAAAAAACAGTGTTATAGAAAATATTGAAGTTTTTTAATTATAATAAAACTATATTATTTATCTAAGTTGACCTAAATTCAAGGTTCGAGAGCAAAATAATTATTTGTTGGTTATGCATTTGATTGGTCCATTGACCCATAAATATAGGTCTCAATTTACCCGGGGTTAGGTCCTAATCTAATTTATTTTTTTTACAAAAAATAAAAATCAGCCAGTTAAACAAATTTTATTCTTTTTTTGGACAAAAATAATTAAAATAATTTAAATGAAATATAATAAAGCATTTGTGTTTATAATTGAGTGTGGTGAAATTTTTTTGTTTATGTGTTTGAATATTTACCATACAGTCGTTACTGTCATTATAAACAAAAATAATAAAAAAAATATTAATATAAAATTTGTTATATTTTATACTTAGTGGTTTTTTAAAAATATAATAATATTGTAAATGACACATTTTTCATTATTTCACCAACACAAAAAATATAAAAATTAAAAATTACTTCGATACAATTATCATTTTAATTGTTTTATTGAATTATCATTTAATTCAACAAATTTAATCATTTTACTCTTATTGATAATTTTTGTAATAAATGGAACATGAAAAACTTACATGGTGCCCATCAGCGATTTGTGTGAATTATGCTAATATTACCATAATTAATCGACACACAACGAAACACTTAGATGAAATTAACTCTTTGAATTTGTGTTAATTTGTCATTTGAAAAACAGTGAACTGGATATAACAAGACTTGCCACAATCAAAACATTTGAAATTTACAACAACATTATCGTTTATTATTAAAATATAAAGTAATTTATCATTGCAACGAAAAAAATACAAGTTGGTAAAAAATTATTATTTTAGTTTGGTTCAAATTAAAGCACAAAATGATAAATAATATTTGTATTATAACCATCAAATGGTAATTAAAATCATAATTAATAGTAAAATCAATATAATAACTTATATTTAAACGGTCGTTATATTAATTACTCTATTGTAAAAAAAAACAAAAATCAATAAAAATAAACAAAAAACTTTAATTAACAATGCCTTCAGAAGTAATTAAAACAAATGAAGATTGGATTACAAAAAGACTGTTGATTCCTTTGGGAAAAAGGAATTTTTGGTGCCTAGTATGTAACGAGAAGATTTCTCATAATGAAGCGACACGCCACTATGATAACTGTCATAAAGACATGACAGACAAATTCGTGAAATTGTGGCGAGAGCTTACTTACTCAATCACAA